GATTCTTATATCTGGTGTGGATTTTAAGGAGCGCCAAATAAAAAAAAAACAAAACGGGTGGGGTGGGTTGTGGGGCCCTTGTCCCCATATTGATGGGGACAAGGGCCTCTTCCCTACAGCAATCCCCCCCCCCCCCCCCGCCAACTCTCGCTGTGAATTGACACAGCGAGATTTTGTCAGTAGGTTCCGAACAATGATTTATGGCCAAGACCTGCTGATTGGGTGTGTCCAATCAGAGCCCTGTGTTGACAAAAAACACAGGCTCTGTACAGAGGGAACGATCTCTTTGTTTCCTCTCCCTGCAAAGGGAGAAGAAACAAACAGATACTTTGTAAAAAGCAGCACACATTACACATTGTTAGGCACACAGTAAACCCTTTGATTGCCCCTAGATAATAACCCCTTCCCAGCCCGTGTATGGTATTATCACTGATCACTGTATTAGTGTCACTGGTGATGTCAGTTTCAGTCAGTTAATGTACCTCCCAGCCAGTGTCAGTTAGGCTAAGTTCACACTAGTTTTCTTAGCAGACGTTCAACAGGCATTTGGGAAGCATTTTTTAACGCTGCTCAAACGCCTATGAAAATTTTACACATGGCAGCATGCAGTGCTCTTTACACTGAAGTGTTAGCGTTGCGGCAAAATTGATGCCTCATGTCCAGTCAGTAGGATTTGAAGCCTCCTATTTAAGTCTATGATGATGCTCCTCAAATGCCTGGCAGGTGTTTGCATGGTGTTTACGAGACGGTTGCAGAGCATTAATACCATTAAACTTCACTATAGGCATTTGTGGTGCGGTTTTAACGCTTGGCAAATGCCTATCAAACGCCTCAAAAACTCACATAGGGCATTTGGGGAGCATTTGAGGACCAGTAAAAACTCTTCCCGAACGCCTGTCTAATGCCTGTCAAACACTATAGGGGCGTTCAGCAAGAGTTAGAAATTAGTCAAGTGTGAACGAGCCCTTAGTGCAGCAATGGGCAAACTACTGCCTGCGGGCCATATACGGCCCGGCGGACCTTTTAATCCGGCCCGCGGAGCATGATACTGTCAGGGTGGCTGTCAGGATGTGTGTAGGCGGGGCAGCGTGACGAACGTGAGGGGAGCTAGGCTCCTCTCACAGTCCGCCCTGAAGACCGGAACGGCGCGGGAACACGGCGAGAGGAACGCGCGGAGCAAAGGTAAGTGAATTGACACAGGGGGGACTTGGGGACTTAATATGGGGGATGAATTACTATGGGGAATGAATTACTATAGGGGGGATGAATTACTATGGGGGATGAATTACTATATGGGGGATGAATTACTATGGGGGATGAATTACTATGGGGGATGAATTACTATGGGGGATGAATTACTATATGGGGGATGAATTACTATGGGGGATGAATTACTATATGTGGGATGAATTACTATGGGGGATGAATTACTATATGGGGGATTAATTACTATAGGGGATGAATTACTATGGGGGATGAATTACTATATGGGGGATGAATTACTATGGGGGATGAATTACTATATGGGGGATGAATTACTATGGGGGATGAATTACTATGGGGGATGAATTACTATATGGGGGATGAATTACTATGGGGGATGAATTACTATATGGGGGATTAATTACTATGCTTACTATGCTTACTATGGGGGAATATTACTATACTTACTATGGATGACACATACACATCATTCATCTACTCTTGGTCCGGCCCCCGGGTCCAATATATGAACCCATTGCGGCCTAAGTCAAAAAGTTTGCCCACCCCTGCCTTAGTGTCAGATTCCCAGCCCCGCTATCACAGTCCCACTATAAGTCGCTGATCACCACCATTACAAATAAATAAATTCAGTATGTGTGTATATATATATAGGTATATCATAGTTTGTAGATGCTACAACTTTCAAACCAATCAATATACACTTATTGAGATTTTTGTAAATATTTTTATGGATTTGTTTTATAGCAGAAAGCAAAAATTATTGGGTTTTTTTTTTTAATTTTGGTCTTTTTTTTCCTTTATATTAAAAAAAAAGTGTTGATCAAACACCTCCAAAAGAAAGCTCTATTTGTGTGGAAAAAAAAATATAAATTTAATTTGCGTACAGCGGTGCATGGCGGTGCAGTTATCAGCTAAATAGCAAAACATGGTCTGGTCATGAAGGGGGTAACAAAAATCTGTAATATATAAATACATGTAAGTGAAATAGAACATTTATAAAAAAGTATAATTCCAAAAACATAATCATGGATATAACTATGTACTTTATCCTTTTATCCTTTTATTACTAGGGTGAAGTTGGAGATATAGGAAACATCGGAAAAATTGGTGAAGCCGTAAGTTTTGTTATTTAAGGAGTGGTATATTAGGGCTAGCATCAAACTAGGCAACTTTGTACAGTACCAAGTACAGTATATCTAGAGCCAAAGTTTTTTTTTTTTTTTAAACTTTGGATAGAGTATAGAAAGGTCAAAGCCCCTGTCATTTTTTTTTTAGTTGTGTGGCCCATTGGAGAGATTTCCATTCACTTTTTGTGCTGTAAACACAACAGAAGTTGAGAAGAAATCTCTCCAAAGTGAGGGGAAATTCCCTCTTTGACTGTTATCACCATGTCCCAATTGGAAGATTCCCCTCTATTCTTATTTTGGTAACAACTGTAACTTTTGGATTTTCCCTCACTTTTATTCCCAGTGTCACCTGGTGGTCAGAGGACAAATAGAGTGTGTTTTTCCCCAGCACTGACACAGATGTAAAAAAAAAACTTAACAGGGTTGCTAACTCTTGCCCTATGCAAACCAGAAAAAAGCACAAGAATTGTTATAGATGCACTTCAAGAGAACTAAGAATTAATAATGTTTTAACTTTTTGTTGAGCTAATAAACATTGACAATGAATGTGCCTCTCAATAAGTTCTCAAGGCCATGCATTGCATTTTGGCTGTATCAGGAGGGTGCCTTGCTGGCAGTGTTTCTGGATTTCCCTGGCACCCTGCAGTAAAAGCATATATATGGCCCAACTTTGAAATCATATATTAATTTCCACATTGTTTCAATTATTTTTCTAGCCTATTCCTATTAATCTGAATTATCTTGAAGTTTGTAAACTTACTTTGTGAAGATTTCCACACATTTACTTCTTTGAATTCTGTGACATGTAGTTCCTATGTCTTGTGAGTAGGCAATGCTGCGTCACACAGTTCACAGGGCCTGCCTTCTGAGGAGGCGGAGTCAGCACAGGGATCACTGCTTGTAAGCAGCAATGTACCATGGGATATGTAGTCCTTAGAAATTGAAAGTAAACAGTGGATGAGAAGCTGCAAAGTATGCAGGGAATCCAGGAAGATGTGGAAAGAGACGGTCAGCAGACAGGCAGAACTCACATCATGAAAGGAGGTTTTTCATGTAAGCCTCTATTGCATTGTCAGCCATTGTTTGTATTGCTATTACAATGCCCATGATATAAAACAAAAGTGTATTCTGTGACCATAGAACGATTTTGTACTAAATGATACTAACTAGCACTTTGTAGTGTCTACCTTTACGAATTTTTCACAATCCGAAACGCCACGGAGAACGCATTAAATTTGTAGACTGAGGTACGCCTGTATTCTATATATAGGTGCGCTACCCAAAAATTTTCATCAAGTGCAAAATTACATGTGCAGACATAGATTTAGTGTAAAGTGCATCAGTTCATCCACTATATAAATACATTTTATGTGCTTAATGCAAACATGCTCAGTCTATAATATGTCCATATGACTACTGTGCGAAAGCCACTCAGCATACCAGTGTTTCCCTGTGATTCCTCCGCCAGTGTTCAGCCACGGGTTAAATGCTTGTTTTATTCTAGGGAAGCAGACACCAAAGATATACTCACCTGACCCGTGAATTCTCCCCGCACAAGACTGGTTCTTTTGGCTCCTGACACCCCCTTCCTTATAAATGGACTGTTCCTGATGTCAGCATGCTCAATGCAAGCTCCACAGACAGGAACAGTCCACTGCTGGACCATGGAGGAGCATGGATTTACGTAGGATTGGCGGGTCAGGTGTGTATTATTATTAAGATTATACAGGATTTATATAGCACCAACAGTTTGCTCAGCGCTTTACAATATAACGGAAGACAATACAGCAACAATACAGTTCAATACAAGAGGGTTAGGAGGGCCCTGCTCCTTGGAGCTTACAATCTAAGAGGGAGGGGCTAGTGGTACAAAAGGCAATAACTGTGGGGGATGGACTGGTAGGAGGAATAGAAGATTCCGTTATTTGCTGAGGGCAGGATAGGCTTCCCTGAAGAGATAGGTCTTCAGAGATTGCCTAAAAGTGAGCAGAGTAGGAGATAGTCTAATAAATTGGGGTAGGGAGTTCCAGAGGATGGGGGAAGCTTAGTCCTCACTCCTAGAAAAAATGAGCAGCTGATCTTTGCAGTGGCGACACAGCCCCACTGCATGGTATACAAAAATGTTAACTGGAGTTCTGCTTTAAGCATGGCCATGTTATCATCAGCCATCTGATCTCTCACAGCCAGAACACACCAGGTAAGAAGTGAACTTTTTCCTCTCACAGCCTCATCTTTTCAATGTCCCTCCAAAGAGAAGCCAAGGGAGGTGCAATAGTGTTATACCATAAAAACTCGCTTTTATTAATACAGACAGGTACTTACAAAATCAGCAGACACACGAGCGCACAGCATTACAAATGCCGAGATCTTGGTTTCGGCATACATGTGACATCACACATGCCATACCAGTTTATATTTTGACACAGGCTTACCCAAAAAGCTATATACAGTATTTGAGGATTTGGAGGGTGCTAAAGTTGAAAAGATATTTTGGGCTTTTTAAAAGAGAAGTCCACTTTTCGAACCATGTTTCATGTTACACCCAGCCGCCCATCCCTTACACTATCTCCCTCCATACCATTGCCATTATTAGCATTCAGCGCTGCTGTGCATGGCTGCACTCACATTCATTCATTCACAGGAACCTATGAATAAAAAAAAAAAAATCTTCTGCTGGGGCAGAGGTATCTGTAGTTCTCAATGGTGCACAATTGTGTTGACGTCCCCACATTTGTGCACCATCGAGACTTCGTCTAGCCCTGTAACTGAAGGTCCGTACTTCAGTACACACCTGCGGCTGTAGAAATAGATTGCAGAATCCACTGATAACAGTTTCAATGCTTTGCAGGCTCAAATGCAAAAAAAAAAAAATGCACATTTTTTTTAACCTCCCTAGCGGTATGATTATGTCCATATTTCTGTGCTCAAAGCGGTAAATGTTTTCGCATGGAAATATGTTTGTTTGTTTTTTTATTGTAGGCCTGTAATTTTTAGGAATAACTCACTGAAATCTGTCTGAACAAGAGTCTAGTAAACATCCCGGGTAGGATAAAACTTGAAACACGAAATCATAAATTATAATTTAATAAATATTCATAAAAAATAATAATAAATTTAATTCAATAATATAATCAAACCAGAAACACTGAAATTTGAAAAATAGCGCCAAGTTCACACATCGCTGAGCAAAGTCGCAAAATTCGTTTTCAGTGTCTGATGACGAATTTCCCCACGAATCATTATCACTCAATTCTGCAAGTGGTTCTGATTTACTATCGCTGTTCTCTAGCTGGTCTAAAACCGCTTTTGACCTAAAGGGACACTTTTTGAATGCCATGGACGTTTCTCAGTTTCCAGGCAGAAAGAACAGTAAAAATGTAGGCAGGGCGCCGGACAAAGCACTCGGGACAAAATGTATGTGAAATGGTTTGATATAGTAATGTTCTACTATGTGATTTTAGTGAATTTAGTGAATGTCACTTTTTGTCATTTTCAAATTTCCCGCCGTTCCGTCCCTCGTACGTTCCAACGCTCACAGGGGATGGAACCCAGATGACAGATGCCGGCATCGGCCGGATTACATTGCCGGGGACACTGCAGGAGGGACATCGCGGGAGCGCAGGACAAGGTGAGTGATCAAGGGATACCGGAGCGCCGCATGGTAAGCCTGAGTGTAGCTCGGGGTTACTGCTTGTGGTACTGAAACTTGACCCCGAGCTACACTCGGGAATACTGCCAGGGAGGTTAATTAACTATTTATTTATTTGCTGCAAACGGTGGAGTTGGCCTTTAAGCATTGTAAATTTTTTGCTACTATAGTGAATCATGTAATTCGGATGATTTATCTTGATGATGCTCCTGCTAACTTGTTATGTCAACAGACAAGCTCACAATTTATGTGACAGACGGATGTCTTTTTGATGTTGATTATGAAGGCTTTTGCCAATCACAGCTGTGGTAAAACACACTTTTTTCATTTATATGATTTGTAGCACATTGTTGATAGAGGCAGAGATAAAGGGGTGTTTTTATACTCAGTAATTGGCTATAAGCAATCACTTTCTTGAGCAAGGCCCATAAAACAGCGGTAGTCTGTCATACTCATGTTGTTAAAGAGAAACTATTTCCTGCTCAGTATTTCAGGAATGTCACCGTTTTCAGAAAAACCTCAATCAGGAGATGATTATTGAAAATATTTTCTTTTTCGCAATTTTGACAGTTTACTGTTTTGCCATCACTAGCTATGAGATATTTTTGAAGATCAGAAGAATTTAATGTCAAATTCGATAGAATGATAGGGGTTTGTTTATCCTTAGAAATAGGTATTGTTTACATAGTTAAAGAGGTCCATCTGTGTGCGGGTAGATGTATCAATAATTCTGTTATGTTCTGTCTACAAAGTTGACTTCATGGACGAACTATCCAACCGGCAGTTCTGGTGTTTTTAGGTAGCTTACTCTCTTTAAGTGGCAAACCATATTTGTCCTGTATGCACAACTTTACCTGGCTGCCAATATGAGACCATGTAGGTCCTTGCCAAGGGCAGCTGTGTGATTAGAACTAAGGGTTCATGTACACAGGGTGTTTGAAAAACTCTTCTGACCGCATGAAACTGACTGCTAGAAAACGTAGGTTAAAAACGTCAGTTTAGCCGCGTTTTTGCGTATTTAGCCGTGGTTGCATTTATAAGCGTTTTTAAAAGATAACCTCAGGAGATCCTCTCAAATGCCCAGAATGCACTGAAAAATAGTAAATAATTAACTATTTCAGACATTTTGTGAGAAATAGAGAGAGCAGAAGCAGAGAGAGCAGTATGTGTTGAGATGACCTGTCTTTTCTGGTTGTATTCACTATGGATCTCATCATGAGCATAATGCAGCACATTCTACCATTTTTCCTGCACGCAAAACCTGGAAATGACTGCGCTGGTGTACTAGGTTCAGTTGAATACATGGAAAATGCTGTGCATGCATTTTTGATGAAGAAAAAAGGCACCGGACAGCATCTGAATATGGACCAGCCCAAAAAACGCGTCTAAACGCAAACGCGCATAAATGCGTTTACACTCGTTTACAAGTGTTTGGCTTTTGAAACGGCGGTAAACTCCTGAACGCATTTTTTGTGCTGTCAAGAAAATCCCTGTAAACTCAACTGCCTGTAAACTACTGTAAACGACGACGTGTACATGGACACATAGGAAAACATAAAGGAGAGTTCAGGTGCTGCTGAAAAAACCGCTCAGCTGCTCCTAAACTTCAGTTTAGCAGCTGCAGTGTACATGAGCCCTAACCCTGCTACTTACATGGACTACACCTCCTTAAAGCAGAACTTCACTCTCGCAATCAACACAGACTATTTTAAATCCTTATGCTGTTACCATTAGTAAATAGATAGGAAAGTATATCATATTTACTTGTTTTAAACTTTTTTGTACATTTCTTCAGTTACTTCCTGGTTTCCATGCCTAGTTAAATAATGTCAGCCATTTCCCACAAGTCTTCAGGAGGGAAGGGAGGGTTCTCAGCTCAGCCTATGCCTGAGCTAAGGGCAAATGGATTCCAGGAAATGATACATTAATCATCTGCCTTAATCAAGATGGCCACTGACAGAAATGCCAGGGGGTGCTTTTCAAAATGATTTCTCAGAAAAATAAAGCATGGAGACATGGATGGATGCATGAGTTTGCTTTGAATATTAACCCCTTCATGCTGACCATATGCAAATTAGTGGCCCCACTGGACTGGGCTTTTTTTCTGTGGGGCTGCTAATTTGCGTGCCTGCCTTTGTGCTGGGAGCGTACTGCATGGTGCGCTCCCAGTACAGAGACCAGGTTCTCACTGAAAGCCCCAGGTCCCGTTCTAATGGTCGGAACCCAGAACTCCTGATTCTGGGTCACCTGATCGCTGTGATAGCCTCTGGTTGGCTATCACAGTGATCAGTCACTGTGAAGCCCGCCCCCCCCTCCGTGTTTTCGCTCTGTGATTGGAGGAGAGAGACACATTGTATCTCTCTCTGTCCTTTAAGAGGAAAAAAAAAATTAAGTGTGTGCAAAATAAATAAAGAAACATAACAAATGAATAAAATAAAAGAATAAAAAACAGTATCTAGATCAAGGGTTGATCTAGGTCAGTGGCAGGGTTAGTGTTTGGGTCAAGGGTCAGGGTCAGTATGGTTTTTTTTTTTTTTTTTTTGGTCAGGATTTTTTTTTAATTGTTTTTAAATTAGTATTCATGTCAGTTAGTGGCACGATAAAAAAAAAAGCAAAATGCGCACTATTGTTTTTGGGCCATAGTACGGGTACAAACAACAACTAACATACACATATGTGGTATCGCTGCGATTGTCAGGAGCAGGAGAAATTATTTTGGGTTGTTCTTTGGTGGTAGGTCATGGTAATAGCAAGAAATATACAGCTCAATTTTCAAAAAAAATAGTTTTTTTTTACTATTCCGGGACAGTTTTCCTTTATTCATAAAAGAAAAATCAGGAGATATCCGTTACCATTTACCACCAAATGAAAGCCCAATTTGTCCTGAAAACATAACAAGGTATAATCCACCTGGATGCACAAAGCAGTTGCGATGAGATTTACAGTTTTGCTAACACATGTCAAAGTTGAAAAATTGTGCTTAGGCGTTAAGATTTGTCTTACCATCAGGCACGAAGGGGTTAGAAAATAATTAAATTGTATTCTTGGTTTGTGGTGCTCAGATGCAGTGCAGTTCTACTTTAAAAAAAATATACCAGCACTTACCTCTTAACAATGCCAAAAAGATAAGGATTACAGGGGCGAGCCTAGGGTTAAAAGCATGTCCCTGGCATAGGCAGTATACCAGGTGTACCAGCTCCTTACCATGACAAACTTTTTGTAGAAAAGAATAGCAAAGTGTTTGTGCACAGGATTACTACTGACTCCTTACTGTGCATAGGACTCCTGTTGCTGTTTCAGTTTGCTTGAAACTAAAGTGCTCATGTTAACTATTACTAACGACACAGCAGCTTTATCACAGATAATAGTGAATCCTGTTGGCACCGGTAATGCCTAGTTTTGCATCCTGCCCTTTCTTCCAAATTGCAGATTGTTGGTGGCTTGTTTTCTCAGCTCTCATACATTTGTCCTTCTTCTGTGATTTGTAGGCTTGCTCCTGCCATATGCTGGAGAATATTATGTACTGCAGTGTGGTCACACAGGTGTTGCACACCTGGCTTCAATCAGTAGCCCCTAAGGCTAGGTTCACATCTGTGCGGGTGGTACGGCTGTGGATCTGCACGAAAATCCATGCAGTCGCACCACCCGCACAGAGAAATGCGGACCCATGAGCGGGCGACATTAGTTTTAATGGTACGCCGCCTGCACTGGAAAGCGCAACTGTACTGGGAACCAAGGTTCCCGTGCGGGCTGCATTTTCGGAAGAAGTCCAGGGATTTCTTCCCTGCGTGTCATGGGGCACGAGAGTTCATTCAAATGAATGGGCTCTCGTGTCCGCGCAAAACATGGCCGCATATATGTGAACCAGGGCTAAATCGGCATCATAGCATCCAGAAAGAGTGTAATGAAAGTTTCTGTATCCTGACAGCCAAGCAGATTTTGTGCACTAGTATCTGGTTACCTGTTGTGACTTGGCTTGTTTTTGTCATGTCAACTCATCAGGTATTTTCTGCTCTTAGTTGCCTCTGGTTATGACTATCGCCTGTTTTGCAGTTTCTGTCTGCCACCTGCTCCAAACTTCTGCCTCTTGATTGACAAAATTTGTCTGCTGCCACATGCAACCTCCAGTCTGTTTCCCATAGTTTATCAAATTTAGTCCACTTTGGATACCTAGTTCAGTACTATAGTTTTCCTAGTAAAAAAAGCAGTAGGCATAAAACATTTTTTTGGTAATGTCCCCAAAGATGCCAAACAGTCAACATTCTGGGTTGCGTATATTGTGGATATTAAACTTCTGAGAGATGAATTCAGTGACATGCAACCAGAAGCGTCTAATTCTGACACAATTCCATAACATATGAAGAATATCTCAGTCCAAAATTTTATATTCTTGACAGGTAGGTGTGTCTGGTTTTCCAATAGTATACAATCAAACAGGCAAAAAATATGCCGTATGAAAATATTGCAGCTGTATGAGTTTGACACTCAAAAAGTAGGAGTTAGAGATTTCCACCCAACTCTGTGTTCTGTTATGTCGGGGATATCTTTAATCCATTGGGCCAGAATATGGGATAATTTAGAGGGGTTTCCCTGTAAAAAGGGTAATGTATAATATGAAAATTAGCCATGTATGCAGAGGTTGGAATGGTTCATGCTTCAGGAAGGAGGAGGAAGCAAAGTATCCCCCTTGCATATCTGTGTTGTAAATATCTAAAATACCAGAAATCAGATAGTCTAAGTTCCTGCTTAATGAAGAAAGGGATTTAAATGAACCCTGAGAGTACAATTGATGTAGATAATTCAATCCTGCTTGAACCCACTGAGAGCCATTGGGAACAGGAAGGAAGTGTTTAAGTTCTTAGTTAAAAGGTGAATTGTTAGGAGAAATAGTTTGTGATGTTAGTGAGAGCAAAATGTTTGATCATCAAAACAAAGTGCCCTCATTTTGATCATCAGTCAAAGTGCCCTCATTAGCATGCAGAGTCTGCCTGTGTTTAGGGTTCAAAAGTGTTTTTTAGGAAGAGACCACTGCCACCTCTTTGACTGTGGTCACATTATTTAATTGTGGAAATAACCACCAATGTATGTATACCAGCAGGGGTGCAGAGTGGCATCTTGAAGGTCTGAAAGTAACAGGTCTCCTTGGGTGGAGGGGAGCTGTAATGTGGATTGGGGGAGTTTGGGAGGTGAAGGATGCCAAATAAAGGAAGATATTAAAGAGTTTAGTTATTAGAAAATGAGTTTAGGATTATAAACAGAGAAGTTGGGGAGTATATACAGAAATTTTAGGAAAAATTGCATTTTAAATAAATTGATTCTTCCAAGGATGGTAAGAGGGAGTCGTACACCCATCTTGTGGACAACTGTAATTCAGTCCTAGGTCTCGGGAAGTTGTATTATTTTGCCCAATAAACTTTAAAGTCAGAATAAATTTAACAATCCTGAATTATTGTCAACGGCGTTATATTTTGTGGATCAGTGATGTATAGCAACATATTGTCAACATACAGTATTAGAAGACTCTTTCTTCTAAGCAGTATACCCTAACTCCCAGTCAATCTGTGGGGTTCGTTTTATAATCTCAGCAAGTGACTCTATGGCAAGGGAAAAAAGAGGCAGGGACAAGGGGCAGCTGTATAGGGAAGAGATGTGAAATTTATCATTTACTCTAAGACAGGCCAAGGGTTGCGTATAAAGAATTGGTGTCCAGGAAATGATTGTGTGACCAAAGCCACATTTTTCAAGTATGCTGGTTAGAAAGGGCCATTTAATTGAGTCAAAGGTTTTGTGGGTGTGCAAAACCATAATGGCTTTTGGAGCAAAAGTGGAGGGATGTTTTTGATAGTTGGTAAAATAAATCCAAGGGTAGGAATCACAGAGTTGATATGCATTGCCAATATTTTAGCTAAGATTTTATCAACATTAATGAAGGAAAACAGTCTATAGGACTCACACTACAGAGGGTCTTCATTAGGTTTAAAGCTTATTACAATGAAAGCTTCCCTAATGGGAGGGCCATAGGATTTCTTCTTGAAATATGTCATTATATGGGGTTAAACGCCACTGAACTTATTTCTCTTTGTATAGTATATACCTCGCTATGGGGTAACAATCCAATCCGGAAGTTTTAAGTGGATAAAGCCCGGGAAAATTCCTCTTCAGTAATTTGGGAGTGTAGAAATGTCCTTAGCTTAGGAGTGAAAGATCTAAGGAGTTAGGATGAGGCTTCAAATAGGCTGGGTCAGAGTGCATTCACATTTCATAAAGTCTAGGATAGAAATACCAAAAGACCTCCAAAACACTGTTATTTTTAGGATATGGTTTTTGTAATAGATTCTAGGTGTAGTGAAGGGAACCTGTTCTGGTTTAGCCAGGAAAGCGATAAGATGTCTGTATTTATCACCAGATTTAAAAATGTATTGTACATGATTTAGGGGTTTCTCTAGGAAAGGATCACATGTGTAGGTTCTTTTGGCTGCTAGGGAGGCCTGTCCTAAATCATGTACTTTGTTCCCATTAGCTTGCACTTTCTGTCTAAAAATTATCCATGTTATATGCACATTGGTATTCTAATATCATGTAATTTACCCATATGGACCCATTATTTTTCTTTATATTTAGATTGCCCTTTATCCAAAGCAAACATGTGATCAAATTATCCCCCCAACCCTGATCACCCAATCCTTTAAAGTTATAACAGCTAATAGAAGGCATGCAGTACTTCCACTGAAGGAACCTTTGCTCTGGATCTCACATTGTCTAGTTCTGTGACCAAATGCTGACACAATGGTGATTCATCTCTGTGCTGGAGGGAAGTAACAAAGTTCAAAAAGAGCTGCAGTTTGGACATTCCTCCCCTTCAACAGAGATCACATGACCTGACTTAGTAGTGGCTCTCGGTGTTAGATTGTCCCAGGCCTTGAGGATCAACAGAAAAGACTTGTCAAAGTAACATCAAGTTTCTGATGTGTGCTTCTTTTTCTGACTTTTTTTTATTTTGTCTTGAAAATGTGCTAAGTAAAGAGTTGTTTTTAAGATCAGTAAGACACTCTTCCAGAGATAAAGAAAGCAACACATTGTTGAGTAAAATGGGATATATTGGTGAGAACGTCTTGTTTTTTTGGCTCTGAGAATCTGGAAGTCAAGTTAGTTGAAGACAATGTGTAAATGAAAACAGATGACGGAAGCTGGGATGAAGCTGTGACTCATGGAATATGCTGGATTCTTATATTACACAAGTACAGAAGTGCCAAGTAGCATGTTTCTGTGCAATTCTTTCTAAATTTTAATGGAGTTTTACCCGAGTGGTTGCATTTCCTACCTAAAATGTTTATTGTGTGTTCTTTGTTTGTACTGTAAATCCAGGCAAAATATTATTGTACATTTGGATTTCTGAATGTAATCAATCTTATACCTTGGAAGTTTTTTCCTGTGGCTTCAGTAATCCAATTTCACCCCCAAATTCCCTGTTCTGAAGGAATAAAATGGAATGAGATGTTTAAAATGTGATGACTCCAAATTGAAGTTAATTCAAAGTAGATGGAACTAGCCTGTAAGGCCACATTATTATTATTATACAGGATTTATATAGCGCCAACAGTTTGCTCAGAGCTTTACAAAAAGAAGGTAGACATTACAGTTGCAATACAATTTGGTACAAGAGGACACAGAGGGCCCTGCTCGTCAGAGCTTACAATCTAGGAGGAACGGTTGACTGATACAAAAGGTAATAGATGTGGAGGATGAGCTGATGGAGGAAATAAATGGCGGATTACTAGGTAGAAGCAGAATAAGCTTCTTTAAAGAGAAAGAGATAGAAGAAGCTCGGGAGAAGTCCTATAGGCGAGCATGGGAGGAGGTGACACGGGAACTAGAGAGCAGAAGGTCTTGAGAGGATCAAAGAGAGCGGTTTGGTTGATATTATGAGACCAGGTTGGTGATGTAGCTGGGGGCAGAGTTGTGGATGGCTTTGTAAATTGTTGTTAGTATTTTGAATTTTATTAATTGAGCGAGTGGAAGCCAGTGGAGG